AGAGATGGTCAGTTGCTCTAAAAATAGCATAAATTGGTCACATGACCTTGCCACCAGATGTAAGGAGCCCAGAAAATATATTCTGGCTATTTGACAAAAAGAGAAAAAACATGGATGTTGGTGAATCCTAACTTTTATCTTCTGTAGTGATTTCTAAAGTTAAATTGCTATTTGTCCTATAAATGCTATTGGTGGGTTAGTGCTATCTTTCTCTTTTTTTTTTTTTTCATGACTTTCTATTTTTTTTTAAGATTTTATTTATTTATTTGACAGAGAGAGACACAGCAAGAGAGGGAACACAAGCAGGGGGATTGAGAGAGGGAGAAACAGGCTTCCTGCCTAGCAGGGAGCCCAATGCGGGGCTTGATCCCAGGACGCCGGGATCATGACCTGAGCCAAAGGCAGATGCTTAACGACTGAGCCACCCAGGCACCTTTCTATTTTTTTAATTAACATATGATGTATTGTTTGTTTCAGGGGTACAGGTCTGGGATTCATCAGTCTTACATAATACGCAGTGCTCCCCATAACACATACCCTCCCCAATGTGCATCACCCAGCCACCCCATTTCTCCCACCCTGGCACTGTTACTTTCCTTGACCTTCTCACCTGCCATTTTCAATGTTTGGTTTATAAATTATAATATAATTATTTTTACATAATTATTTTCTCTAAATAGTTTCAATTTTTATTATCAATTCCTAAACTTTCCCAATATTGAATTCTGGACCTTGATTCATCTTTTTTATCTTCTGGATAACATTATTGGGAAAATTTTACCATTAAAGTTAAATAAATTAAATAAATTAATTACTCTTAATTAGTTATATATATATGTGTATATGGATATTTACTTTTATTCCTAAATAAGAAAGTCTTTCTGTTGTATTTGCACATAAATAATGACTTAGATGTGTATGAAATTCTTGTATCAAAATATTTTCCCTCGGGCGCCTGGGTGGCTCAGTTGGTTAAGCGACTGCCTTCGGCTCAGGTCATGATCCCGGAGTCCCGGGATAGAGTCCCGCATCGGGCTCCCTGCTCAGCGGGGAGTCTGCTTCTCCCTCTGCCCCTCCCCCCTCTCATGCTCTCTCTATCTCATTCTCTCTCTCAAATAAATAAATAAAAAATCTTTAAAAAAAAAATATTTTCCCTCAAAACCTGATGAAATTGTTCCATTGTCTTTCAAAATTTGGTGTTCTGGATGAGAAATCTGAAACTTGCCTGACTTTTTCTCCTTTGTAGATGATCTTTTAATGTTTAGCTTACCTTTGAAATGTTTTAATGTTCCATGATATGTCTGAGTTTGGATATATTGCCATTATTTTGATCAAAACTGTATTAATCAATTTAATTTATGGACATAAACCTTTATTTGGGTCAGGTTTCATGGGGTATTTTATGTTCATGATTATTTATTCCATTTATTTTTCAGGTTGTTTAGATATTTTTATTCTCTGTCCTCAATATCTATAATTCTGACTTTCATTGATTTCTTCTTAGTCATTTTCCTCTTTATTCTTTCCTACTGTGTACTTTTAATCTGCTTTTGTCTACTTTTCATGCAGATTTGAATTCTGCCATTTCTCTTTATGTTTCCTTGCTGTCTTACTTAAACAAGATCACTTGACATCTTTGTCTTCATATCTGTCTTTTCACGATTATAGGTATGTTTCACAGAGGCTTCTTTTTCATAAAGGCATGTCCCCCCTTTGTTATTTTTAAAAGAACACAATGCAAATGTTTTCTAAAACTTCCATCTCATTCTCATAGAAGTAATACACACGCACGTGCGCACGCACACACATACACACACACACACAAATCTGCTTTTGAAGGTTCTAGACAATGTTTTCCCTGTCTCACACTATGAAGAAGCCTTGTGACTTAATGTTTTTCTCTTTTAAAAAATGGAACTATATTCAGGCCCAGATTTTACCAATATGCAGGGAGGGTGAAATTTACTTGGCTCCTCATTCCAGCTATTTCAATTCCAACAGGATTCCTCTCTCAGAGGTAGACTCAAGGTCAGCAGCCTTTAATTTTGTGCTGGCTTATTGAACTGAGGATGTATGTTCTATTTCTTAGACAGTTCAGTGACTTGGGAAGAACCCACTGAAGTTTAAAAATTTGTTTGAACAACAAAAAAGCATACTCCTGTGCATGCTCCTAGAACTTCTCATCAGATGACTAGGGTATGAAGATATAATGTATGTCTACTATTTTTCTGTTTTGGACTCTGCACTAAATGAATGAGTAAAAAGAAATGTTGAAGGAGATGTTGGTGAGAGGCAAGACAATGCAGAAATCTGGCGCTTACTGCCCAGAGATGCTGCCTGATTCTGGTTATAGAGGCCTCCATATCATGGAGTAAGACATAACCAAAGGAACTCAATTGCCATCTTTTTCTATCTTTTGAGGGACAATAGATTTTGTTCTATTTCAAAAGGGTTGACATATGGTACATGGCTAAGAATGGGCATCCAATGGAATTTTATCCAGATATCAACACACAGTCTTTCTCATGTTGAACTTACAGCACTAGCTGCAATATTTTCAATGTATATACATAGGTACATTGATTGAAACTTAATGGAATAGATATCAGGCACATTTAATAACCCAGGTAAAACCCATTTATAACTGTCAGTAAAGTTTGAAAGCATTTCATCAAATTATATCTTTAGGGCTTGTATCTCTAACCAGAGTCCTCACTTAACAAACTAAAATACAACATGAACTTCAAATCTAGTATACTTTCCATTATACCTTAGCTGCCGTAAATTAATGAGTAATGCCATTGTAAGCCAGTAAAAAAATAATTCTAATGAAAGAAGAAACTTTTGCACTCACAGCACCATTGGCTTTGCTATACTTGACTAATATCATCTGGGAAAATATTGATGGATATGAATAACCAGTTCCTGCCAATGCACAACAATGACCTCATTATTGAAGGTACTTACCTATTATGATATCAGAGAAAAGAAAATCTTAATCCCCAGAATTTTCCAAGTTTGTTACTAAAGATCTCTTACTATAAACTCTTTCAACTAGGCTGGCATACCAAATCTTTTTGACTATTGCTAGAGATAAATTCAAAGCAGTAGTGTGCTCAGCATCCAGTTTTTATGCAAGACCACCGAGATCTAAAGGAAAAGGGGTCCTTAAAAGAAAGTCATACATCCTCTAAAGCGGTATTCCTTTAAGTGGCCATATGCTACAATCTCACATATTAGAGACACTGTACTTTAATGACCATAAAGAGAAATGCCATCTTTTCTTCTCAAACCTTGGACTAGTGCTACTGAACTGTTTTGATGCATACTTTTACATACAATTTCAGGAGGTTCGTAAACCAACATTCCACCCCACGATTTTAACATGAACCAAGGTAATAGTTTCTGCTTAAGGTCTTTAAAAACAATACTAACATAAGTAGAGCAGTAGACTATATAGTATACTTATACTATTTCCTACCTAAGAAAATATGGCTGTTTTATGGCTTCTTTCTATTTTTATTTCTTGTTTCTTTTTTCTTTTTGTAATTTTGTAGGTAAAATCTATGTACCTTATTTTTTTTAATTCAATTAGCCAACATATAGTACATCATTAGTTTTTGATGTAGTGTTCAATGATTCATTAGTTGCATAAATACCCTGTGCTCCTCAGATCACATGCCCTCCTTAATGCCCCACGCCCCTCCCTTCTGCAACCCTGTTTGTTTCCTGGAGTCAAGAGTCTCTCATGGTTTTTCTCCCTCTCTGACTTCTTCCCATTCAGTTTTCCCTCCCTTCCCCCATGGTCCTCTATGCTATTCCTTATATTCCACATATGAGTGAAACCATATGACAATTGTCTTTCTCTGATTGACTTATTTCACTTAGCATAATACCCTCCTGTTCCACCCATATCAGTGCAAATGGTAGGTATTTATCCTTCTGATGACTCAGTAATATTTCATTGTATATATGAACATCTTTATCCATTCATCTGTTGAAGGACATCTCGGCTCCTTCCACATTGCTGCTATGAACATTGGGGTGCATGTGCCCCTTCTTTTCACTACATTTGTATCTTTGGGGTAAATACTCAGTAGTGAAATTGCTGGGTCATAGGGTAGCTCTATTTTTAACTTCTTGAGGAACCTCCATACTGTTTTCCAAAGTGGCTGTACCAGTGTGCATTTCCACCAAGCATCATTGTAGAAAGGTAATGAGAAGCAGAACTTAGGGCAAAGAAGGAGAAATCGGGTAAAAGCAGAAAAAGAAAACAGTAAACTGGTTTTTGAAAGGATGGTTGAGGAATTAATGAGTTATATTTGTGAGACAGTAAGTGATTGTTTTTGGCACCTTTTAAACATTTGTCTAATTCATAGAAACACAGTGAACTAGGAGAAAAGAATGAGAATCTTGATAAAAATTCAAATATCATCCTGGGATCCTACTGAGCAAATCCTTAAGGAGAGCATGTTGTATCAGTCTACTTCTTCAACAGTGTACATGACAGGATATCTGTCTAACATTCTTTTAGGTAGCATTTAGCAATTTTAAAAATGCCTCAAGTTCTAGGATCTGTGTCAGAAAATACCCTGTTTTGCATTAGCATAGACTTCTCTCAAGGATGATGTTACTTAGAAATGGAAGATATTCCATGTTTTGAATACTTTATTTTACTCTTAGTTTCCTTTTGTAACTGTTATATTAAAGTTCTGAAGATTAGTTGAATAACTGTAAGTAACATAACTAAAATATTTAAAAGAAATTTAGAAATTTATTTTCCTATAAAGATAAGTCTCTATGTAATTAATCATGGGGTAAGGGGAAGAAAATAAACTTTGTTAAAAAAATAAAAACAATGCTACCATAAAGAAGTGTCCATAAGCGTTCCATTTTACCCTTCTAGACAGAGCTGAAGATAAAGTTTATCCTCTGTCTTTTTTCCCTGAGGCCCTTTTAGATCAGCCACATTTACAGTATCCTGCATTTATTGTTAACAGCCTTTCAAGACCTACAAGGTGATGTTGAATATTATACACTTTTTTGGAGTTCTGCTACCTCAAATGAATCTCTCAAAATCCTCCCAGATGTAAACTCTCATGTCATCAGCCACTTAAATCCAAACACAGAGTATCGGATTTTTATCTCTGTCTTCAATGGAGTCCACAGCATCAGTGGTGAAGTACTGCGTGCAACCACTTTCGATGGGGGTGAGTCCAGATTTCAAGGGACACTTGGCTTCAGAGATGCAAATGAAATTGATTGATTCTTGCTGAGGTTGAGATCAGTCGTCCCTCCATCATAAAATTTCCGGCGTTGGAGGGAAGGGGGTTGGGACTAAAATGCTTAAGTGCTCGCTGTCGTCAAGTGGCAGATCAATATGCAGTTCCTTAGAGAGAGCAGCACAAGGCTCTAATAATGGGATATTAGCCCAGTTTGTTCCTGTTCTTCTCGGTGTATGCTGAGTTTGGAGCTGAATTCGCATCAATAAATGGTGACATTTAGGAATATTTTTTTAAAGATTTGCTCTCAGAAGCAGTGTGCTTTTCAAAACGGCAGCCAGGCACAGTGAGGGCTCTCCCTGAGTCACCAGAAATGGTAGGTGGAAGTTCAGCCACTGAGAAAAATTGCCTATGACTCATTTCTAAGCCAGTTAGCAAGGGGGAGGAAGCAAGGGAAGCAACTTGTGAATCTGAAATGTGTTTGGAATGGTCTTTCTAATCTTTTTGGCTTTATAAAGTCTCATTATAAACATTATAATATCATTACCTCCCAAGCAAGTGTTCCAGGTCATTAGCAGAGCACTTTAAGTGTGGAACCCATTTCCCTTTGTGGTGCCAAAGGTCGACACCTTTTGTTTATAAAATAGAATGGATCACAAGGACAATTTTTCAACTAGTTAAGATGGGTTCTTATGATAAAAATAGGTCTTTGCATAGTTATTTCTGACATGCTTGAATAATTGTGTAATTTAACGCCAAGCAAGATTTTTTTCCTAATGTTAGATTTCATCATTACCTATGGTAATCAACATTCAAAATCATTTACATAATGACAATATTGCATTTTTGCTTCATATTGCTTGAGTTACAAGCTAGTAACATCAAATGATTTTTTACGTTCCACCAGCCTCAGCCTCAATGTATTTGAGTTTTATTTTTTGCTTAAGGAGCAAATTTTCTTTCCTTTTTTTTTTCCCTGGGAGGTATGGAGTGAAGGGATGGGAAAAAGAGACAAATAATAGATATGTGTTAGTGCTGCAGATGGGTGAATAATTTATCATCATATCCCACTGGTCACATAGTATTGAAGATTAGCACTATGCTGGTGGTATAAAGCATTTTACCACCAATTCTTATGGTTTCTAACTGAGAGTATAATAAGCCAATTTACAGAGGACTACAGACTGTGATAACTTCATCAGAGAAAAGCAGATAAGCAACGAACCCTTTGCTAAACCTAAATACTAATATGCATTGAGTTTAACAAGTGCTTTTTCAGAGACAGCTGGAGTTTATTCAGTTTTTTCCTTTAATTCTAGAGCCTCAGGGCATGCTTCCTCCAGAGGTTGTCATCATCAACAGTACAGCTGTACGTGTCATCTGGACATCTCCTTCAAACCCAAATGGTGTTGTCACTGAATATTCTGTCTATGTAAATAATAAGCTCTACAAGACTGGAATGAATGTGCCTGGGTCTTTCATTCTGAGAGACCTGTCTCCCTTCACTATCTATGACATCCAGGTTAGAGCACTGTTTTTTGATGGTTAAGCTTATAAGTATGTTAACTAAAACATGCTGGGCTATGTCTCTAAGTGGACACCTTCGGTCTAGGTTACAGATTATTTATATACTGGGGAGGGGAGAGAAAAGAGAGAAAATTATTAGGATTAAATCTATTTGCTGTGGGCCAACACATGGTCTCTGGAGAGAAGATAATGGTAATATGGAAAACAGTGGTGATGATATTCTCATAGGCAAAATGGGGCAAGTCATATATTGTCAGGAAATCTTGCTATGCAGTTTACCTTTGTCCTGCCTGGTTCTTTTACTGATATCAAAAGCAGAATCAGCCTGTGAATGTGGAGACATTTTTTTCTCCCTATTTCTGCTATTTGTTAATTTAATAACTCCAAGGAAGTTACATAACCTGTTTGGTGTCAATTATCTTTTTTGTAAGGACAATGGACTCCATGACTTAAAACATTCTATCCACCCCTAGCATTCTGTGATTCGGAAGGCAGCAAGAAAACAGAAATGAATATATGGCAGACAAAATATATTGAAGAATTTTATCACATGTGTGGCAACCCTTACCTACATGAGAAGAGTTGTATTTAAACGTTTTTGCCCTTGAACCTCTTTGAGAATCTGATGATGTCAGTGCACCCTGCCCTAGAAAAACATGTATGTATTTATCTGACAGAAGTTAGCATGCAATTTCAGAGTGCATTGACCATGTGAGGCCCAACTCTCATAGACCTCTTCGAGATCTACTGACCTTCAAAATAGAAAAAATATAGAGACCACTAAGGCATTTACAATAAGGAACTTTTCCCCAAGGAGTTGGAAATCTTATTACAGTATTGGGATATAAAAGATAACAAGGCCAAATGTGGAAATTAATGATAAAAACAGAGTGTTTCAGAAACTCAAAGTTTATAGAGGAGGGTAGCAGTTTGGTAAATTTTTAAAGAAACTGTGCTACTTATAACATTCATAAGAGCTTTGTAAATAATTTTCAAAAGATACTAAGCATAGATATTTTCTTTGACCACAAAAACTTTTCACTGGCTTTGTCCATTAAGTGCTACCTCATTTATTTTCCCAGCCCCTTCTTTCCCCCACATTTGAAGGTGAAACATACACAATCATCTGGCTACAACCAATGCTTTAGCCTCTCCCACCGCTAGGCCTAGCTTCTTCAGAAAACAAAATTAAAATTTGATAAAAGAAGAAAGATATGTTGATTATTTTCTTTTACACTCTGTGATTTCCATGAACCCACCTGAGTTATCTTAGCATGGAACATTTAGACTGATGCTTATGTTCACGGTTTTTAGAGAGTCCATATGTGCCTGCACGTCATAGGTCAAATTATAAAATAAAAATCACAATCAAAATAATTAGCCATATAACTTTATGAACAAGGTTAGTTTAGAAAGGTGATGGAGGATTTGCTGGATTATTCTCTTTTGGGCCCTCATGGAGAAGGCTGACTGAGTCCTCAAAAGGCAACTTACTCATTTACTTGACCAGGACTCAAAATACAATGTAAGGTGAGATCACTGGGTGCTATGCATGCACGTCCTGATCCAGCTTTCTGATTATATGGCAAGAGTTGATGTGTAAGTGTTTCAGGCATGTTCTGCTATGACAGGCTTCACTCATACCTACTGGTTTGAGTCACTAGTGGCCTGAGGAAAGTGCATTTCTGATCAGATTTGGGACATGGAAAAAGATGAGACAAAAGACCAAATTAGAATCTAATACTTAAATTGTGTTATTAGGAAGTAAGATGTTCTTACCCTTGTTAACTATATTTTTGTGAAGCTCTTCACAATCCAGGAATACTGCTTGAAATAGTTGTTGCATCACTGGAAATTTGAATATCAAATTCCAGTGATTTTCGTTTATGGTGTCAAAGATGATTTGGCCCCATTTAAAATATGCATCTAACTGATATGCCTAATACTTTAGAATTAAGGTTCTCTATGTTAACCCCCTCTGCAAAAAAGCTATTGATTATAAAGCAGACATAAATGCCGATGCAAATATCTACTCATTTTAATGAATTCCTTTTTTGAAATAATAATTTCAATTTTCAATTCAATTTTATTTTTAATGTGAATCTGTAAAACCTTTATATTTGTGTTTCATTCACATTATGCAATGTAGCTGTAGCAGCAGAAACCTGCCCCAAAGATGAACACCTGGAATATTACATTAGTAAGAATGAGAAAAATATTGACACATTTCTCCACAGTCAAAATAAAAGCTTTTTGGAGAACCATTTGAATATAGCTAAGTAGTTTAGAACTTAAAGCTTTGCTTAATATTTAGGTAAGACAATAGTGTAAGTAACACCCAGATCAGATATCTCATATCTTACCAACTTGATCGTATGCCCTGATTTCTCTAACCCCCAATTTACAAACTGATGAAAATGGACTTGTGAGGCCTCAATAAAATTATTTGTGCCAATACCCATTATAATACTGGGCACACATTATTTATATAATAAATTCAGTTGAGTTGATTTTGAATTATCTCATTATGCACCATATAGTCAAATATTTCCCAATATGCATGAAGTTCTACTGTCATTAATTCAAATATATTTTAAGTTCCTTTGCCTTTAAATTATTTGGGGTTTCATGGGACGTGCCTAGAATGGAGGACCTTGACAGTATCTACGAAATATCTACAAAACATTACCTCAAAAGACTCTATGGCGTAAATAAAGTACACAACTTAAACAGCATCATAAAAATGTTCCTCAACTCCTATTTAGGTGTAAAGTGCCCCATGAATAAAATGACATAACTACTAAATACAGTAAGAATCGCATTTGTCTTTTCTCAGTTGCCAGTGGAAATTCAGAGAACTGCTTCATTCAGTTCTCTGTGCTAACATCTAAGCTCAACATTAGTGTTTAAGATTCATCTCTATCCAGCTTCTCTCCTCCATTTACGTATTAGATGCTGAAAGGAAATTAGCGTTGGAAAAAGTACAGTTTCTCTTTGGCTTACCCTTTCATTGGGAACAGAATGATGTCACTTTGTGGATGTTCCACTAACAATCTTTTGTACATTCATTCATCTCTCCTCCCTCTTGCTGCATGTGTTCTTTTATGTTACTAATGCTTGATGAACTCTATTTCTGATCTTTAGTTACTCCACCCTCCTCTGTTCTTATTCAGATTAGGTGGCAGAATTAAAGGGGTAAATGATGATTTTCTGCTGTGATTAAGGTAAAAATACAATTGCAGCTGGAACAAATGAATATAAAATAGCTCGGCCACATTGAAAGGCTTCTCTAGGCCTCATTTTTCTTCTATTCCACATTAGCATTTAGGCTATTCATTGTAAAGTGTCAAGACTTCCGGAAGATATCATCATTACACTACCTGGTTATAGATCTAGAGAGCAGTATGCAGTGATAACCTATTCTGCTTGCAAACTGTCATCTAATCATCTTCCATTCCTCAACTGTGCTCCAAATAGATTACTATGTCTGTCTCTTTCTGAATGGTTGGAACCAGAGGCTAAACATCACCATTTTAATCACTAAATCAGTTGTCTTGAGCTCATTTCTATATTCTATGCTGAGTTCATTCCAGTGGAGTCAATTAACATAAAAAAATAATATTAATAGCACTCCAAGAAGCTGTGGAGAACTATAGCAGAGTCCTGTGGATGGGTGATGAGGATGGGTGGATTCAATCCATTGGCAGTCTATGTTTTGAAAATAATTGGATTTATTTTTTTGTAAACTAATGTTTGCAGGTTGAAGTCTGCACCAAATATGCCTGTGTGAAAAGTAATGGAACCCAAATCACCACTGTAGAAGATACCCCAAGTGATATACCAACACCCACAATTCATGGCATCACTTCAAGGTAAAATTTTTTGCCAGTTAATCTAAAGAGCTGATCATAAACAATGAGAGTTAAAATCAAAGATTTCATCCCAACAATGACAATCTCATTTAAAAAGTTGACATAAAAATCTGTGTAAATCAGGGGGCACTTGAGTGGCTCAGTCAGTTAGGCATCAGACTCTTGATTTCGGCTCAGGTCATGGTTTTAGGGTTGTGAGATTGAGCCCTGTGTTGGGCTCTGCACTGGGCGTGGAGCCTACTTAAGATTCTCTTTCTCTCCCTCTGCCTCTTCACCCCCACCCACAAAAATCTGTAAATCAAAATTTTTGTATAATTAGGTATTGATCTTCACCGGACGCATCATCTAAGTTTTAATGTCCCTGATTTTCCAGATTTACTTCCCTTTATTTAGTAACCTGTGAACAAATGCTTAAATGCACAAAAGATTTTCTGTATTTAAATGTGTCCTTAAGTGAATCCTTTGGTAATGCAAAGAATATAATTTTAGTTAGATTAACTACCTTCTAAATTAATCTCTTTGAAAAAAATAGATTTACATATATCAGATTGCACTAAAGCTAGAAACATCTATAAAAAAAGAGGGGAGATAATCTTTAGATAACCATTACCAACTTTATCAGATTCTTGGTAGGATCTCCATTTGTTGCTGAGAAATGACCATAGTTTGAAAGTGAGTCTCTTTTCAATTCAAGTTACAATAATAGTAATAAAAAGATCTAACATCAAGTTTCCCAAACCAAAAGTGAGATGACAATTTTCTTCCCTCTACATCAGTCTGAGGCTAGAGAAAGAAATCTGAGTGCTCCCACATCATACTTTTTCCCCGCCAAATGTATCACCCTTCACCTTTACACATACACACACACACATCCCACATACACACACTGACCAAAATAATCTTATAAGAGATTTCAATTCTGAAGGATTCCTTTGCAACATATTAACGTTTCTAGGTCTTTTTAAAAATCCATTTAAAAATATCTGTACTAGAACTAAAGATTAAAATAATAGAAAAACCCAAGTAATTGAATGCTTAGCTGTTCAGGGCAAAAATTGTATCTTGTCTCCTTGAATACATCTTTTATCCAACACATGATAGATACTTATCTAATTTCAGATGTGCTAATTAATTGATAATCCTGTCAGCAGATTTTCCCCACTTATACACAGAATTGCCTACTCTGCAGAGGCAAAATAGTCAAATGAAAAAGGTACCAGCAGATATATTTGTGGCTGTAATTATATAAAAAGAAAAAGTAATACAAAAAATGTATAAGGCATGATTTTAAATTTTCAAAGTTCCAGTCCACTGTAGAGACACTGCCCTAAAACAAATGTTTATAGAATAATGTGAAACACACTACAATATATGTTTATAATATGCAGGAAAGACATAAAGAGAAAAACGCCAAACTCTACCCAGGATTATCAGTGAAGGCATCATGAAAGATGCAACATTTGAGTCCAGTCAAAGAACTCAAGGAAGAATTATAGTTAGGTGGGTGGATATTGTCAAATTTCTTGTCTGTTAGCATCCTCATGACTCAAGCCCAGGTGAATGGCATAAAGAATATGTCTTAAATTACATATTCAGATGTAGCTAAAAATCTGTAAGCTTTATTAGAAATTAAACAAATGCTCATATGTGTCTGTTCCTAGGATACTTTTTTCCTTTAAAAAGATTCCTACAGTTAATAGCAGAAGAAAAGTATTTTTTAGTTGTGGTTAAAATTTATCCTCAAATATACTAAGTTGATGGCAAAAACATTAAAAAGGGTGTTATACAACAAGAACAAGGAAAATGATGGAGCAGACAACAGAAGAGAGATTTCAACACAATTTTGGAAGCAATATTTGGCAAGGAGAAGCAAATGACTTAGTGCAGTGGAGAATATTTTACAACAAAGTGTTGTTTGGTAGAGGGAGATAATGACACAAAACAGACTAATTTGCCCTGCAGAGAACCTCAGTGTCTGAGCACTTATAAACTTTAAAGATAGTAAAGAAGAGGAAGATGGGTTAAGGTTCAAAGCTGGAATCATGGGATTAGTAAAAGTCTGAAAAAAAGTGGTTGGGAACTATAATTAGTCAGGATTCTCCAGAGAAACAGAACCCCAAACTGAAGACCCAGGAAAGCTGGTGCTGTAGTCTCTCAAAGGTTTGAGGGGCAGGGGAGCCAATGGTGTAAATTCCAGTTCAAAGCTGAGAGCAGAAAACCTATGTCTTAGCTCAAGGAGTCAGGCAAAGAAAGGGAATTTCCCCTTCCTCAACCTTTCTGTTCTATTCAGACCCTCAACTGATTGGGTAGTGCCCACCTACATGGGGTAGGCAATCTGCTTAACCAAGTCCACCATTTCAAATGCTAATCTCCTCAGAAACAACCTCACAGATAAACCCAGAAATAATGTTTATCCAAATATCTGGGCACCTTGTGGCTCAGTCAAGTTGATGCATAAAATTAACCATCAAAAAATTCAAGGTTCCTCACCACCATATTATGCAGGCAGATATCTACTTCTCTTGCTCCATCTGGCATATTCCACTCCCAGGAGACCAAAAGTGTATTCTCTGGAGAAACAAACAGAGATTCCTAGGAATTAAGACTACCTAGGTACAGTGGAAAGCTGGGATGTTTTAGCAAAGCTAAAACTCATGATCAAGTGGAAGACTACAATTGGACTGATGAAAGCCTTCTTTGCCTTCCCTGGCACTGTTCTCAAAAACAAATATTGTGAGAAGAATGTTGAAATCTCCAAATATAATTGTGGGCTTATCTATTTCTTTTTTAGAACTATCAGTTTTTAGCCCCATGTATTTTGATGCTTTATTATTAGGTGCGTACACGTTCAGGATTGCTCTGTCTTGGTAAATTGATTCTTTCATCATTGTTTAATATTCTTTTGCTTTCCTGATAATTTTCTCATTATCAAGCATAGTTTGTCTGATACTCATATAGCTACTTCAGCTTTCTTTTGATTTGTGTGATTCTGAGTGATTTTGGATTGTTTCCTGGACATTTTAAATATTAGTTTGTGATAATTTGAGTCCTGTTAAAAATTTGAAGGTTGAAGTTTTAGTTTGTTTCATTTAGCAGGTAATCATCTGGTTAGCTTCAGACTGCAAATTCTGTCTTGCCTTGTGTGCTCAGTGGTTCCAATTTTAGCTCATTTTTCAAAAGTTTTGCTATGCTGCTTCATGTCTGCTCCATGCATGCACCTTTCAGTGGCTAATCTGGTATTTGTTTGGGGGATTATGTAATGGTTCAGGTCTCAAAGTCTTTGCTGTAATGCTCAGATTTCCTTTGCATGGGAAGCAACCAGGCACATATAGTTTGAAGTTGAGTCAGGACTTGTGTTGGTTCATACACAGAATTAGAGGATCAGCTAGCTTTCCCTTCTCTGGGATTTCTCCCACATTTTTCAGATCCCTTGTACTTCCTCTGTGGGATTGGCTAGATAAGACATGGTTTCTCTTGGAATTTTAGCTTTCCAAGTTATCTTACATTTTATATAAATGAGGCTGTGTTGGGGGCAATAAGATGAGAGAAAATAGAAGGAAAAACAGGGATACCCTCCCACACACCATTTATGGAACACAGGGGCCCCTTTTCCTAGTTCCTCTGTTCAGAAAGAGATTTTTCTTGGGATTTTAGATTCTCATTTGACCAGGACTGCTATAGTACAGCTCCTTGACTAGAATCATCCTCAGAGCAGGGTCCAGAGGAAAAAAAAGAAAAAACAAAACAGGGATTTCCCTCACACCTTCTGGGTTGTAAGGCCTTTTTGTACTCTGGCCAGAAAGATAGGGCTTTCTTGCCCAGTGCACAGTTCCACACTGGGGCTGCTCTTGAGTTAAAATGGGAAATGAAAGAGGGGAAACTATGACAAATTCATCCTTACATGCTTTTTTTTTTTTTTTTCAAGTTTTGGCTCCCGTCCTTATCTGCCTCTACTGTTAACTTTTCAGAATCCTTGGTTGTTTGCTTCTTGTAATTCCTGCACACTCTTTAGTGTTGGTCAGTCAGAGAGAAATGTTTACTCCATATTGGCCAGCCACAGAAAGTCCCTCTCACCACATATATATTTTTTTAATTCTAATCCCTTTGGCAACCTTATTTCCTTTTTTAAAAAAGATTTTATTTATTTATTTTTAGGGGAGGGGGCAGGGGCAGAGGGAGAAGGAATCTCAAGCAGACTCCCCACTGAGCAGGAGCTCGGTGCAAGCAGGATCCTGAGATCATGACCTGAGCTGAAACAAGAGTCAGACGCTTAACTGACTGAGCCACCCAGGCATCCCAACTTTATTTCCTTTTTGTTGTTTTTCTCTTTCTTTCATTCTTCCTTCCTTCCTCGCTTCCTTTTTTTTTTGTTAAAAATCTAGAAAAACCTTGACAGAAATCATTCACAACCAAATATTGGCAAGAAAAATCTTTCCTTTCTAAAAATGATTCATCATAGAAGAGCAACATTTTCCAAAGGCAAGACTCTAATGAGCAGCCATGGGCTGCCAAGCCCTTAATCAAAATTACACTAACACCAAAGCCGTTAGCCTCCTATGTGCATGTTATTGTTTGTGTAATTTTATTATACTTCTGGCAATGTATACTTGTTAGTTATGTTTTTATTTTGGTTCAAAAAAGTCTTTTTTGTATTAGCGATGGGCAAAATCAAATGAGAAATTCTTCCAGAAAAATGTCAGTAGACTGAGTTAACTTCAATAGCACTTAAAATGATTTGGTTTCTAATAAGACACATATTTGTTAGATTCTCTGTATATTTTTGGTAGGACACAATAGTAAGTAACATTTAACTTTCATATATTTTAATAACATATACAGATAGTATATCAGGCTGTTTGGTTATATGCATGGAACGCACCAACTCATCTTTGTCTTTGGCCTTAACTTATGCCTTCTGACATTTATAGCACAAGCACTTATGCATGTTTTTCCTATTATATATAAACCAAAGACGCTATAGAACACAATGCTGTGGGGCG